GTGGGGCTTGATCCCAGCTCAGCCCCCTGCGCCCAGAGACAGCGGCAGCGCTGGCTTTTAAATGTTTCTTAGGTAGGTCGAGATTCTTCACCCTGTTGGAAGCAGTTTGTGGTTTGTTTCCCCCCCCCCTCTTTTATAGTTTCGCTGAATTAATTTAGCCCAGTTATTTTTAGGACATTCCTATGCTGCCTCTTTGCACAGCAGTGGTGAGCTGGTTTCCTGTCTGCTGTTGCTTCCATTGTTCAGACTTCTCTCCCCGAGGGCAGCTGCTGGTTGGTGAAATACCAAACTCCCTGCACTTTCAACTGTTGTTCTTGCCACCCCCGAAATAAATGCGTGTGGAAAACGCTGACGTAGTTTCTAGGTATGCATGTGTAGGGCTTTGTGTGTAAGAGTGTGTGTGTGTAAGCTCTGATTTGAGGATTGCAAATCCTGGGCTGAAACAATGGAAACAATGAAAGGTGACAGGCGGGAGGGAGAACTTTTGAGAGGGGCCATGGGCCTGGGGTTTGCGTGGCACAAATTAAAAGGTGAGGATACAAAGGCGGAAACTTTTAAAAAGATGTTAGGGCTAGGGTGCCTTTGTTTTAATAAAGGTTGGGCTTGTACTTATTTGTGACCTCCTGGCATTGGAAGCTCATTCAAGAAGTTTCAAAGAGTGACTTTGTTACAGATTTCTTGCTTGCACTCCTAGAAAAATCCCGTTTAGAGGAAAAAAAAAGTATAGTACAGCCAAATCTAGTTGCTTTACAAGTAATAGAGTGCAAGCTGTAAATTACAGAGGAAAACAAATAGGCTGGTTCCTCAATTATGAAACTCATTCAGAGGAAAGAGGTGGTGTTTTTTTTCTTTTACTGTGGAAATTCCCTTCTGTATCCTTGTCGGTTTTTTGCTACTTATGAATAATTTTAAATAATGTATTTTTGTTGTTGATTTTTAAATTTGCATTGCATTTTAGCTGGGTTTTTTGGTATGTGTGTTGAGTTTAAAATTTTTAAGTGTGTCATGCTGTGTTTTTGTTGATGGCTAGTTTTGTTGAGGGTTTTTTTTGGTTGTTTTTCTGGTTTTTTTTAACTAGCAGACTGTGGATTTAAAGCACAGGACTTTTCTATGGATAGTTTAATTTACAAATAATAACGTGGTAGCAGTCACACGGAACCTACGTGCCTTGTTAATTAGCTGATTTAGAACACAGTCTCGAAAAGGCACAGGCATGTGCTCAAGTTAATACATGTGAAGAATCTTACTGAACTTGGTTACAACAGGATCGGGGGCTTGGATAGGAACTGGTTCTGTTTATCAGCGCTCATAAAAAAATCTCACTGAAGAAATTCAGAGAGCCCTAAGGGGCGGGAGGTTTTCTTTAAGGTGATTTTTGTCCATCCCCTCTCTGGAGGGCAGAGATTGTTCCTTGCGGTATACTTTGTCCTCTTTTGAATAACAATTGGCTTCTGCCACTTCCTCTGTGAAGCTCTTCCTCGACACAATGGGATAGTTGTTTTTTTGTGGTGCCTTTTTTTCCCCTCATAGCCTAAATTTTTCGTTTGCTTAACTTCCATTTCATTTGCCTCAGCCTCTCTAAATACTTTGTCCTCCCCCTCACAGTATTTCAGCATACCTTTTTAAGTGGCAGTGGTTTGTTTTGAAATCAGCTTTAGTCATCACTGTACTTTTACTCAAGTTGTTTCAAGCTGTTAACTAACGTTTGGGTGTTGAGCCCAGACTCCAGATCCTAGGTGTAATCTTCCCTGAGCTGATTACGGGGAGGACCTGTGAAGTCTTCAGGCTGTGATACAATGCAACAGTGCATTCAATCATGCATATGACTTCAGCTGGGAAGCCAGGAGGATAAAGTAATTTATAAAGAAGGGATGCTGATCATGTAGTCCTTAGATCATTAAGCGCATAGACTACTCTTTTAAGTGGCGATGAGGAAGTGAAGGAATGGGATTTTATGTTGTTTCTCAGACCTCTCTGCAAATGAACTTGTGCTGCTTTAATTTTAGTTCTTTAAAAACAGTTTTGTTTTTTTTTTTTTTTTTTTGTTTGGATTAAATGTATTTAGGAGGAGACATAAAATAGCCTGGCCCTAGCCTGCTTTTAATACAAAATAAATTAGTAGGTCAGCTGGGGCTACTCATCGTGTCCACAGGCCTTTATTCTGGGTGTAAATAACAGTAAGCCAATGGTCCAGTCATGGAGCATGGCCAGGACCCTTTTCAGCTGGGCCCTGTTAAAACAGGAAACCAGCAGCGAATAGGCTGATTACTAACAAGACAGAAAAACAAAGCTGGGTTGTAATCAGCAGGAATGCTTTAATGAAAACAGAGCCTTGACAGCCACAGTGTGGCTCCTGCTCTAGTAAAAAATATCAGCTGGGGTAGTGCGAGATTTCTAGCCATGACTTCCTGTTGCTGCTAGCTCTGTCCTGCGCCTGAGAGATCTGCCACGAGTTCAGAGAGCTGATCAGCTATTTAAATGAGCTCATTTAAATGAGCAGAAGTTTGTACTACACTGGGTTTCCTGCTTAACCAAAACCTGCTTTGTGTCACTAACTTACTGTGTCAATTAATATGACACACTCAGCCAGCAGGTCAAAGGGCTGGCTCCGCTGGTGACTCATTTCTTGCTAGGTAGGTTACGGTTAGTCAGATGACAACTTTTACTTTAGCAAAAATCTTATTTGGAAAGGGAGAAACGTTTTTATACTGCTGGCTTGCACACAGTATCTTATCACTTCTTTTTTTTTTCAGCTAAAGGAAAAGCAACAGTTCTAGGAGAGGTTTTGCTGTTAAGTCAGTTTTCTGAAATTCAGAGAGATGGAGTCCATGGAGTCTTTTAGTTGTGTGGTAGATCCTGGAAAGGTCACTTCAGATTGTGTGGTGTGTACCTGGAGTACTTTTTGTTATGCCATGTACTTAGTGCTTGCAGATCATTAGACATCTAACTTTTTCATAGTAGTTTCTCCTTCCCTTTTGTTTCCAGCCCTTGCTGTTTGCCTCTCCCTCTTTTCCAAGGTCTTGCCTTACTGCCTATTATATTTAAAAACAAACAAAAAGCCCAGCCCTGTGAAGTGCTGCAACAGTTCTGGTTCCTGACAAACAAGAACAGCACACTTCAAAATATTGTCTGAATAGCATGGGCTAGTTTTAGCTAGTTTTTAAATTCAATTTAAAAGGGCTGAGCTGCTTTGCAGAGCTGTCCTGTTGTCTCTGCAGGATCTTTGTTCCCAGAAGTGCTCCTCATGGCTCCAGGAGCCCATGGTGCAAGGCATGTTCTCAGGTCAGGTTGCAAGCATGACAGCACTTTCCATGAAGCTATGACAAAGTGGTTTGCTTGGAATCATTGTAAGGCAAACTTTTGACATACTTTCTACACGAATTAAGAAACTGTTTACATAGTTCGGAGTTTTATCTTGTGTTGGTTATTTAAATATTGTCCTATTGTTCCTATTCTATGATTGGATAATTTATGTAGCTAATCATCAGATGAAAAATTTGGTATGTCAGTTTGGTGTTTGTCAGTTACATAAATCAGCAGTTGGGAGAATGAAAACAATACCAAGTAAGTTACTGAAATAACTATGCCAGACAGATTGTGGATTGATCATCCTGTTGGGAATGCTTGCGTATCAAAACTGTGCATTTCAAATTGGACAACTTAAACTAAATTTAAGGATGTTGGAGCTATTCGTAAATAGAGGAAGGAAAGATAATTTACTGTGTCAGCTTTGGCTGAAGTTTGGAAGAGTGAGGAAAAGTCCTTCTCTGTTTCTCTCCCTACTCTCCTCCCAAGTATTAAGGAAAACTTGCTCATACATACCTTCTATCTTTCTTTGTGTGGTAGTGGGGGTTTGGTGGCTGGCTGGTTGGTTTTTTTAAAGGGCATTACTTCCTTCTTGCTTCTCACTTCTGTAAGTGCCTTTACTTATGGATATAACATAGTTTTATATAGTTTAATATTTTCACAGGTTTACTTCTTGTTGTTTATTTCCTTGAATAGAATTTTTTAATTATGGGTGATTTCCCACAGAAAATTTTACTTTTAGTTGGCTTTACTACTAAGGTTTTTAGTTTTGGTGTTACAAGTGAGGAGATTTCTTCCATCAACCCCCCAGTCTAAGTTCAAAAGACAAAAAGATTAAGGGCTTGTTTTCCTTCTATAGTTTCTGAAACTGCTTCTGAAAGCCAGTGTGAGTTCACTTGAAATGAGTGTTAATTTGTACTAGTTGAATGTGGGTAGTATCTTATTTGGAATTGTATATGGTTTGTAAGATTCCTAAAATTTCTGGTGAGTTTAAAGCATGGTTTTCTTTGTGTTTTATGGAATAGTGACTCTTGCATCCTACCAAAGGAGTAGAATTGTAGCCTTCCTAACTGTTGAATACTTGCTCGTTTGTTTGATTTACATTCCATAGCTTCATGTTACTAGTAGTGTGGTGTACATATATAAAGGGATAGTCAGATTGTGAAATCTGTTCCTTCCTTTGTGTTGGAGGGGGAAGGTATGCAGTTAACTGCTAAGTTTGGAGCCCTTATAGTAAGCATAGCACAGAACACACGTTTCCAGGGATAAAAATATGAGATGAAAACCACAAAGTTGAAAAAATAGTCAGGCTAAAAACTGGTACCTCTAAATGATCATGGTTCTTTGATACAGAATACAATGAGAGTCCATTTCCTGATAAACTGGTGAACTCTTAGGCACTTGGTTCTTCCTTTCTTCTGCACTTTTTTTCCTTCATAAGTGAAAATCTCCTTATGGGTGGTGAGAAACACAATTTTCCCCTTTATTTTTTTCTTCTTCCATTAACTTTTCTCAATAGATGTAATTATTCATTTGTAAACTCTACAACCTATCCCTCCCAAGAGACAAGCATCAGGATGTTAAGAAATAATTAAATAACATATTACTTGAGTTGGGGTGTTTTAAGTTCTTCCTTGTTGACCTTTTGCTCAGCCACTGGTTAGTTATCCTTGAAAAAAAGTGCTGGATGCATACCACAACCAGCAAACTTGGACAATATTCTCATTCGATAGAAGCTATCTGATAACGTTCAGCAGATAAAAGGTTGCCAGGGGAACAAGAAAATGAAGGTTTGCAGAGAAGAATTCCTTTAGAAAGGGATCATCAGTGCTACTTTTTTGTTCAGCTGACAGAAGAGCTACAGCATGTCAAGTAAACGCTGCAGGACGAATCTCCCGTGCAAGGGGCTGTAACAGTAAATACAGTTCATGTGATATAAAATGTCTGTGCCATACAGTGCTGGAGCCAAGCAGTTAACGGATTTAGGAGGCTGATTGTTCTTCTCTTACAATTGTAGGTGTAGTTGCAATATCAGGCAGTGAAACGGAGGATGATGACACTATGGATGTCCCACTGGATCTTTCCTCATCTGCTGGCTCAGGCAAACGGCGGAGACGTGGCAACCTGCCCAAGGAATCTGTGCAGATTCTTCGGGACTGGCTCTATGAGCACCGATACAATGCTTATCCTTCAGAGCAAGAAAAAGCGCTGTTATCCCGACAAACACACCTTTCCACACTACAGGTATTTAAAAAAGTAGTTCTGCCTTCTAAAGGAGGTGTTTTCTGTTTTAATTCACCTGTGTTCTAGTCACGGATACAAATGTTTACAGTGCATGTGAGATTTCCTTTTTTATTGCTACTCTCCTGCTGATGGCACTCATAAGGAGAGATAGAGACTGATTATGTGTTACGATGATCTTTGTTTATTGGGAATAAAATTATTTTTGTGGGAGAACAGACAGTCATGAATTGGAGCATGCATGCTAATTTTTTGCAGAATTGTGCCCCAAAAGACATAAAGTGTCTGTACAAGGTAATTTATTGTGAGAAGAAGGTATTTATTTGTCAACAGAGGCTTTATGGTGATAGATGTGCAGCTTAGCATATAACTCTTCACTTCTAAAATAGCAACTTGAGGCTCATTCCAGTAGAACATGGACATGTATAATTATGTGTATGATCACTGCCATTAAAATCAGTGGAACAACCTATATGGGATGGAGCTACTCAGGGGTGTTAGTGCAGGTGTGGATGAGGCGTTTGTATGTTTATTTTGGATTCTCATCAAATGATGAGATGCCACTGGCATCTCAGAGGTCCCTTGGATGCATCATTCTTATCTTCTGTGATTGTCTTGGGTCGAATAGCTTTTGCCCATTGCTGCATCCCATGTTGTGGGAAAGTGGCTGTATAAGAACTTGGGTAAACCACAGTTTGGTTTTGGGAGCTGCTAAATAGAGAGCACTCCTGTTGAGTTCTGGACTTAAATTTTCCATATTTATTCATTAGTGCAAAGTTCATAATTGGCCATAGACTAAAATTTTCTTAATGCAACATTATAAAGAAGACTTCCTTTATGTAGTAAAGAGAAAAAAGACGTTAAACTATAAACTATCCTGTATTGCCCAGGAAACTGGTTGATATTTAAACAAGGACAAACTTAAGTGAGGTAATTCATGTTATGTCTGTCGACACAGTCAGTTGAACAAGGAAAATCAGTAACTATTTGTGGGAGGAGTGGCTCTCTTCAGAGAGAAAAGGTTTTCCTGTTGTTAATTAACCTAAGCTAGGGAACAATAGCCAATAGGTTAATGTGTGTGCACAGAGTTAAAAGCTAAACCCCTAGTTTGGACTTCAGCTGTCCCGGGGCTTTCTGTAACAGGAGCAGGGAGTTGGTAGCACCGGGACAAGGGAAGGGCCTTTGCCCAGCATGTCAGAACTTGTCAGTAGGTCTCTGTTTTGTTGTGCAGTGAAGGAAACTGCTCGGAGGGATTCATTAATCTAACTGTCCGCTCTAGTGGCACATAGTTGGGAATGAATGAAGGTAGAAATTAAGATGTCATTATATTCCCAGGTCTGCAACTGGTTTATCAATGCACGCCGCAGGCTGTTACCTGACATGCTGAGGAAGGATGGCAAAGACCCAAATCAGTTCACTATCTCGCGGCGAGGGACCAAGCTTCCCGAGGGCGGCCTGGTGGAGTCTGCCATCAGCACAAAGAACTACATTCCCCTGCTGGATGAGACTGCCTTCCTTCCCGCCGCCGCGCCTCTCGGCAAAACTGTGTCCTCTTCCAAGCCGGCTTCCCCGGGATCGGTCCTGGCTCGGCCGTCGGTGATTTGCCACACGACTGTGACTGCGTTGAAAGATGCCCCTTTCCACTTTTGCCAGCCAGCTGATGTAGGCCAGACCACGGACCTGCAGCAGCCCCCGGCTGGCGGCTTCACAGATAGCCCCCTCTCCTGCCACGAGGACGCATCCAAACTGGGACCTGGTGCAAACACACAGAGTGGGCTCTTCAACACTCCTCCTCCAACACCACCAGACCTTAACCAGGATTTTAGTGGATTTCAGCTTCTGGTGGATGTTGCACTCAAAAGGGCGGCAGAGATGGAGTTGCAGGCAAAACTCATGGCCTAAATCCCCTTCCTTCTCTTTCCCCGTTTTGTTTTACCAGGCAGGGATCTAACAGCGGTGTGGTTATTGCCACCCACACGATATCAAAAGACTTCACTGCGTTATTATTATTTTTTTTATTAATCTTATTTGCACAAGGGGATTGCTGAAATGAAGCTTCCTGTCACTGAGATGGTCTTCAGTGGAATATGGTCATTCCAAGAATTACGAACTTAAAGCTACTGTAGAAAGAAAGGATTGTGTGTTTTGTTGGGATTTTTTTTAATGTTTTCTTTGTAGATTTTTCATAATGTGAGATGTTTCCCAAGATCATGTGATTTGTTTTGTTTCTTTCAGACTGTGCAATATCTAGTAATGATATAGAGTCTTCTTATCATTCCCATGTGGAACGGAATATACCGACACGCTGTCTAAATTTTCAATTTTTTTAACAATACAAACTTTGGATGATCATGCTTTTTTTCCCATAATATAATAAAATATTTTCTTTAAAAGTGATGCATACAGAGTATTTTGTTGAATACAAGCTTTGCAGAAAACATGAATTACCCTTGAAACAAATGGAAGTGAGAAATATTTTTGAGCTCATACTGACTTTGTTTGGTTCAGAGAGCCATAAACCAAACTAGCAGTTGTTGTTTATCAGATGTTTAAAAGAATGCTGAAAAGTGGGCCAGAAGTACCTGATTGTGTTCTCCCATGTTGAAATTTTTTTAAGGGGTCAAAGGGAACTATGTAGGCAATTCTGACTAAATTTCAGAGGGAAACCTTGGGCCCCTCTAAGAGTTCCAGCTTTGGTTCCTTGAAATATTTTAGGGCTGGGAAATGTGATGGCTCATGGGGAAGATCTGAAGATAAAAGGAAGAGGCCAGAAGAGGGGCTGAGACAAGTGTTCTTTGCAGATCTTTGTGATGCAGCTCCTAGACATGACTGGTGACAAATTCTGATAGGGGAGGGCAAGGGCTTCTAGCCTTACTTGGACTAGCAATGAGAAGGTTTTTACTCAGTAATTCTAGTAGACTGAAATAAAGTAGGCTGTATTGCACTGAAATCTGAGTTCTGGGAGCCAGGTCTTTGTGAGATACTTTAACAGGTGGTTGGCTAAGATTTAGAAGAGATCCCTGTTGTATTGGGGTGTATTTTTGCCCACAGAATCTAAGCTACCTTTCAGAAAAGGACTTTGCTATCAAAATGACTTATTACTGAAAATGGTGAAGACTTGCAGCTCACATTTCAACTTACTTGAATGTCAGTCGCCCACCCTTATCCTTCCAGCAACAATGAAATAAGAGACCTCCAGGGTAAAAAATTGGTTCTGGCTAATCTTTAAAAACAAACCAGTTGTCTGTTTGGGAGGTTGGGGGAGGGCTTTGAGGAGTAGGAGAATTGGTGAATTTAAGGATATCATTATGAGTAGAAAGAAGACTACAATATTATGACTGCTATACTGTTTTGCTGTGGCCTTTATAATTTTCTAGTGTCAGATATATTCTGCTTGTTCTCTGGAGTGCTCTTTGGAATTCTTCTGAACTTGTCCCTTTCTTGAATCTTAATGTTTAAAATCAAAATGGCAAACAGTAAACACTGGTTTACTTATGACTGCTTTGGTAACACAGTCATCCTAATATACTGTATGAATATAGAATTATTTTTTAAAAAATCGGAAATAAAGCTGGAAAATAATTTTGAAAATAGAGATGGCTGTATACTCTGTCTTCAAGGCATTGCAGGTGCGTACAGAAGAGCCTGGTGAGGTGTCTCTCTGGACACACTGTACTTGATACTTCTGAGCTGTTTTTCCTTGGATACCTATGTATGTATTGTTTGGTTGGGTTTTTTAATGACTAATTGTAAAACAGAAGTGTACTTTTTTGTCACTGTGAGGCTCACGTTGAGGGAGAAGTTGGTTAATAGACATGGTTTTATGGAATAGGTGATTTATCTTAAGGGGTGCTACACACCCAAAGTGGAGTGTCACCTTTGATAAAGGTTTGGAAGATGCCTTGTCCTTTCCTGTTCTTGCAGGAAGGAACTCTATTCACTCCTTACACCCATGCTTCACAAATGAAAGAAAAACAGCCTCACAAATATGTTTGCATTGTTTATTTTAATTGCTCCACATTTTCCTCTTTTGTTTGTTTTTTTTTTTTTTTTTTAAGCAGTATGTTGGTGTGCTGTGAGGCACTCAGATCATTAAAGGGCATCTTCAGAGATCTTAACTCTTCATTACTTTGCCCTTTAAAATAAAAAATGTCAGCAAGTTTAAAAAGAAGAAAACTTTGCTGGTTGAGCTGACCAGTTCTGTAATTTCACTATAGCAGCTGCAGTACTGAAAATGAAAATAGAATGAGGAAGAAAGCTGTTGCCATTCAGGTTAACAGTTTTCATTGAAAGTAAAAGCCTGTGGTCTCTCTGCTATTTTCATTTACTGTTATACAAAGTGGTGTTAGTGTAAATGACCACCAAAGTCCTGCTCATGTGATGAGCACTGCATTTCCATTTTGCTGACTGACTTACCCTGGGAACTTCACTGGTGAACAATTTTGATTGAGGCTAGTTATGTACTTCTTTAATTATGGCTTGTGTTAAGGTTACACCTAGAAGTTTGGCTGTAGTCATAAGTCATATGGCTGTGGCTGAGTAGCACCTGACACCACACCATGTAAAAGATTTTCCTTAGCCTGAGGTGTTATTTAACTTAGGAGAAGAAAATGACTCATATTGAGTGCCCACTAAGATGTATCAAAAGGGAGTTTCTGCTCTCCTGTAATCTAGCACTGATAGTTTTGGTGCTGGCTATTGAAGTTTACCTAAACCTATTCTTTCTGAGCATAAACCTGGAGTAACTTTATCTAAAGTTATCACAGGTAGGTAGGTATATGTAGGGCATTGGGTGGAGCTAGGATCCTGAACTGAGCAGGAGTCCAAGTAACAAACCAAAGGCTTCAAGTGCTGGCCACAGATCCCTGGTAGAGCAAACAAAAAGTTATTTGTGAAACTTACTTTACCACGCAAAAGAAAGTTTTTACCACGGAAAAGAAAAATATAAAGAAGCAATGAGACAACATGGGTGGTTTTGCTGTTCTTGCAGCAGTGATAAACTTAAATGCAAAGCAGTTTTGTCCAAACCCAGCCTCTGGCTGAAAACACACGCTTAGGCCACTCTGAAGCTGAAGGGAAGGCATTGCCGTGTGTTACTGGAGACTGTGTGGCCAGCCAGGGCGTCAGCGAGCTAAGAGGTATGACAAATTCCTGCCAGGGAAAACAGCTCACACGCAGACTTCGTCAACCTTGTTTTCATGGCTTTTGTGTCTTGTAAACAAGTTGTGGCAGCTGCATGTGATAAATCTCTGCGCAAAGCAAAAATAATTACAATAGGGAGGGAATCTTGACCCTGGCGTCGCTGCTGCCTGCTCGCAGGGAGGGAGGGAGGGAGGGAGGGGTGGTGTCTCGCTGCCTGTCGCGGGGGGGGGTGGTTTGTGGTGTCCCACATGTCTCCCTCCCAGCCTGTGCCATGAGGTCAGCCTGCAGCGCCGTAAAACCGTTGGAGCTGCAGCAGCTGGCCTCGCACGGTGGGGGAGGGAATGGAGTGGGGCGAGCAGGGCTGGAGGCTGGCCTAACCTGCATGGCTGTGCCCTCCTGGGCCATGCTGGCTCGGATAACGTCAGGATCCTGCGGCCCGGGCAGAGCGGGAATGGGGCGAGCAGGGCTGGAGGCTGGGCTAACCTGCATGGCTGTGCCCTCCTGGGCCATGCTGGCTCGGATAACGTCAGGATCCTGCGGCCCGGGCAGAGCGGGAATGGGGCGAGCAGGGCTGGAGGCTGGGCTAACCTGCATGGCTGTGCCCTCCTGGGCCACGCTGGCTCGGATAACATCAGGATCCTGCGGCCTGGGCAGAGCGGGAATGGGGCGAGCAGGGCTGGAGGCTGGGCTAACTTGCACCCGTGTGCCCTGCCGGGCCACGCTGGTTCGGATAACAGGATCCTGAGGCCCGGGCAGAGCGGGAATGGGGTGAGCAGAGCTGGACGCTGAGCAGAACTTGCACGGCTGTGCCCTCCCGGGCCATGCTGGCTCGCATAGCAGCAGGATCCTGCTGCCCTGCCCGGGCAGAGCGGGAATGGGGCGAGCAGAGCTGGACGCTGAGCAGAACTTGCTCGGGCCATGCTGGCTTGGATAACAGCAGGATCCTGCTGCCCTGCCTGGGCAGAGCGGGAATGGGGTGAGCAGGGCTGGAAGCTGGGCTAAGTTGCATGGCTGTGCCCTCCTGGGCCATGCTGGCTCGGATAACAGCAGGATCCTGCAGCCCGGGCACAGCAGGAATGGGGCAAGCAGAGCTGGAAGCTGGGCCATGCTTGCTCAGGTCATGCTGGCTTGGATAGCAGCAGGATCCTGCACCCTGTGTAGAGCAGGGGGCGTGCGATAGCTTCATTGGAAAAGGGGAAGCAGGGAGAGAGGGTATGTGGTGGGGAATCAGTTTTCCCCTTGGAGATGAGGTAAAGCTGCAGTGGGAAGCCCAGCCCACAGAAGGTGCAGTGCAGCTGGGAGTCCAGGTGCACCATGACCCTGCTCAGTGTCACTTTTACACCTATGGTATTTAGGCCACTTGCAGTTAACTGTGTCCTGCCTGTCAAAGTCTGTTTTCCTTTGCCATTTTTCTTCAATCACTTATCCAGGGGTTTTTGGTAACCCTTGGAGTACTTTATATTTATTTAGTTTAGGGGTTTTTTTGTGGTTTTTTTTTCTTTTTTTTTTTTTTTTTTTTTTCTTTCTCTACTTGGCATCTAGCAATTGTCAACTTCTCGCCATGGCTTTTTCCCAGTAGGGATTACTGGCACAAATACAGCTCATGTTCACTTTTCAGGACATTACTTGTTTAAAGTCTCCTGTTCACCAACTGCCAGAGTTGTTACATCTCTATCCTGTTTCGCTGGTTCAGCAGGCTCTTCTCCCATGAGTTCCAGCCTTCAGACTGAAGGAGAAGAGATTAGATTAGCCACTCACTCTAGCAAAATGTCACTTAGAGCTGTTGCTGTTCCAGACATGATAATTGTACCCATGTGTGCTGTATGCGGTTCAGTGTCTATTCCAGTCCCTGTCACGACAATGAGTGCCTGGAGTTCTGCACACACAGAAAATCATGCAAACTGGTGCTAGATATGCTACAAAGTAAAAACTCAGGCTGCTTTCTCCATCTATATTTTGTACACACTCCTGCTGACAGCTCAAAGCCATTTTGCTCACCTTTCCCTTTGAAACTGGCTTTATTTGCCTTCAAACTCCTTTTTCTCTCTGAAGCTGAGGTGTCAGGTCTGGGACTGCAGCTGGCAGGAATCTCAAGTCCTGCTGCACACATTTGCAGAACAGGGTAGATTTCACCAACAGGTCGACTTCACAGCCCTTTGTAGCTCTGCAGAGCTGCTTCATTGTGCAACATGAATCACAGTCCCTAAAGCTGATGCAGCCATGAATGAGTCGCATCTGCCTCCCAGCTAATCTGT